TCCTGAAAACTCCCCAGCTCTGCAGGGTGTCCCACAATAAACTTAATAGTTTTCCCTCCTTTGAGCCACCTGGGACAGGGTCTGGTGGGGCAGCTCTCCAGGCCCCCATGTCTGTCCCAGGAGCACCCATGGCCACCCCAAGCTGCCCCATGCTACGAGAGCACTCGCTGCAGTCATCTGGTAGCCCATTTGCAGGTTCCCTGTGTGTCCTGAGCAGGGTCTGGATTTGGCCCTTTGCCTCCCCAAGCATCGTTCCCCACCACAGGGTTAAATCCCCTTCGCTGGTCCCCGGTGCTCCACCATACTCCATATTTTGAGCAAAGGGGTTGAGAGAGACTTGGGCACAAGGGCATGGTGCTGTTCCCAGGCCTATTTTGTTTACATTTGATTCAATCAAGTTGTGGCCTTTTGGCCTCCTTCCAAATTAACTTCTGGGTGACCTCCACCATGCCCTCTCCCAGCAGCCAGGCCGCAGGGAAACAGCCCATTAAACCTACAAACAAATATAGGACATATTGGTTGATCAAACCAGCTTCAAACATGGCTATTTAAACACCAGGGCATGCTTTTTTGCAAACTTCAAGTCTATTTTGTCTTTGGTCATTCGCACCTCTGGGCCTCCTTGATTTTTTTTTTCTTCCAGCTAGAGCTCTGTGTTTTACTGCCTCATAAAACTTCTAAATTTTGTTCTCATCCTCCTGTAAAGCCCACGAAGAGTGACAGGAGGCTCTTTCACACGGAGCTTGCTGCAGGACCTGGGTTTTTACACCAAGGTTGTGAAGAAAGGCAGCAAGATTCTGCTTGGGGGAACAGCTGTAATACTCCAAGAAATTGTGTGTTCCCCTTATTTCCAAGGAAATAAATCAAACCGGGTTTCTCAGGGTCTGTGAAAGCATATTGCCTGGATTCCAATCCCCAAAGGGTTTATTTTTTCAAGAACTTATATGGTAGTTAGATTTCTGGCTAGAGAATATGCAATATGATAAAAACACAGTCCCTGTAAGGGGCAATAAATTACAGATTGTTTGATGTGGAAACCAAAGAACTGTCAAACTCCAGTATATCTGAAATATTCTAAATGAGACCTTAACTCGAGTGTCTGGAAATGTACAGTATGTTTCCAGGCCTTTCAGTCTGGTAAAGACACATCTCCCCCAGTTAAGTTTCCTTTTATGGATTTTATGATTCATTTTTGGTGGGTTCCCCCCCCCCTTTTCTTCCAAAATTGTGCTGCTCCTTCTAAGGATGGTCCTGTGATAAACATCAGGATTTATTTAAGAATAAAAAGGGATCAGAACTGGGCACAACCTTAAACAGGTAAGTGCAGTGAGGATGGAGTAAAGCATCTGCAGCATCAGTGTCAGAGCCCTGTAAGAGAGGGACAGGAGGGAGGACCAAGAGTGTCACATCAGCTGATTTGGTAACCGCAGTCTCCATCCCTGCTGCATCCTCACCCCAGCACCACTCAGGTCTGCTCTCCAGAGCCTTTCTTGGAAGAGGATCAGTGGGAGGTCACCAACATGGCAGAGCACCCAGGACGTGGGACGTGAAACACCACAGTGTCTCTGTTAAAACCTGAAGCTCATCCCCATCATCCCTCATCCCTATTAGCTATCCAAACATCCCTGTGGTGGGAGGAAAATTAAATGACCAGAGAAATAGCTCATCTTGCACACTGCTTTTAGCCTAGGGATGCCACCAAGTCACAAAAAAAACCCCAACCAAACAGAGCAAGACCTTCTGCTGACACTAACTGACCTTTCAGTTTCAATATAGTTTCATGTGTGGGATGAGTGAAAACCCTTCTAGCTAGAAACAGACCCCATCCACTCTGGGAAATAAAAGTTAGGAACCAGTTCCAACTCATTTTCCTGAAGGTGACCCTTGGCCTCCCAGCTGAGATAACAATGCTAATATTTATGGATGGGCTGTTCATGCCTCTGGGCACACAGCAAAAATAACTAAAATCAAAACCTGGTAGACATCTAACAGAACTGAAAAAAAAAAAAAAAATCCTTACTTCTAATATAGCAACGACAAACCATCTTGCCCACCAGCACAAGAAAAATCAAAAGTTCAAGTGAAACAAAAATGGTCTGGAGTCTTGATGTGATGAGTAGGCACCACCAATGGGGACTCATCCAGAAAGGACTGACTTGAGACAGCACGCTACTCTGGTGGCCAAGCTTTATTCATTTATTTATTCTAGCTTGATAAAAGGTTCTTGAACCAAAACAATACCGTCTGGAAAACTTTTAACTCCCTTTTCTCTCTGGGTTAGGTTTTCTATACTCCTTTCATTCCCCATAAATTTTACTCTAAGTTCAATGAGAATTTCTCATATAGATGTGTGCAGTTACCCAGAAGCAGCTTGAGAAGACATGAACTAATGAGCAAGCACAATTTCCTCACACAACACATTCACCAAACTCAAGCAAGCTCGAAAATGTAGCACACTGCTGAAAGAACACACGTTTTTCAGCAGCAGGAGCAGCCTGGAATAAATCAAAGCCAAGTCATCGGCAACTCACAGACATTAGCAAAAATCTACAAGTAAAAGTAAAAGCTGTGGAACTCTACAAAAATTGCACCAACTAGCATGGTTCCTGAGTCTACCCACATCCAGAAATTCCAAGCTGCATCTCTACACAACACACTGGGAGAAAGCAATCATACAGTAATGGATTCACAATTTACTGGTAGTCACATGAGGAATCCAGTTTATAGCTCTGAGCACTGGAAGCACTCAAAAAAATGCTCTTTTCTCCAAAACATTCTGGGTGTTTGAAAACCCTTAAAAGCTACTGTTGGCTTGAACTTGGTGGATAAGGAGATTTTCACCCCTCCCCAGCTTGGGAGTCCCCACTGCTTCCCAGATCTGAAGCCAACACCTGAAAAACACAACAGTAATTCATTCAGAGCTGCTGCTTCTTCCATATTTCCTACTCTTCAGCATTCCAGATGCATTCCAGATGTCAAAGAGAGTGCAAAAATTTGGTAGGCCAAGAAAATAAGTATGATAGTGAGCTCTCACACACCAAATCCCACATTTAAGTAACCTCTGCAGTCACCCTCCTGGCATATAAGCCACAGGCTACAGACTCTCCACAGGGATAGCTAGGTCCACAACTAACTTTCACAAATAATTTCTCACTTTCTTCTGATTTTATTCTCAATGCCTCCTCTTTCTCAAACACAACTTTACAAGAGGATTTGATTTTTCAGACTTTTTAAACAAAAACAGCTCTCCTGCCCCCAATAACATGTTTGAATTTGATACTGCAAGCCAAGGAAGGCAAGCACCATAGGAGATTGTGACCGAGCTGGCCATACTTGCCCCCGTACCACTACTCTTCTCCAAGGAGCAGCTGACAAAGACATTCTGCTGCTGCAAACAGCTGAGTTCATTCCAGCCATCTACCCAGGCTTTCTTGTTCCACACATCTCCGCTCCTCAGCAGCCTGAACTGTTCAGCAAAGACCTAACTTGACCCAATCTGGCAGCCAGCGTTTCACAACCACTTTATGTCAGCAGTTTCAAGTACACTAATAACCATGTTTTGTTCAGTGTGACTTTCTCACTGTGAATGGCAAAATATCATTATCACCTGCAGGTTGAAGCCTGCCCTCCACCCCATTTAATAGGGAGTTGATTATGCTATTTCTCCCCCCCCCCTTTAATAATTATGGGCTGTTGGCAGATGGCACAGCTCGGCACAGGGAGGCATGCGGGAAGGCAGAGCAGGCTGCGCTGCCTGCCTTGGCTCCTGCATGGCAGGGTGCTCCCAGGGACCCCAAATCCTGCATCCTGCTCCCAGACAGCACCTAATAAGGCACGTCTGCGTTGGAGGGTGCGGGGGTTAAACCAGGAGCTGCTGTGAAAACAGTCCCTGGCAGTGGCAGGAGCAGGAAAGCAGAGGTTAGCAGAAAAGTCGCTAAGCCAGCAACTCCAGGCAGAGCAGCCCGAGCAGTGGCCAGGGAGAAAAGCTGGGCTTAACCCTGGGAACCCCCCTCTGCCCAGAGCCCCGTGCCAGAGCAACCCTGAACAAGGTCCCACCACCAAGAGGTCCCTCAGGAGGGTCTGGGCAGTTCAGCTTTATTAACAGACAGCATTACCACCTGAGTAGTTGCCCTGCAAAGTCCCAGTGCTGTGTCCCTGGAAAGCAGAGAGGTCTAAGCTATCAGCCTACTGAAAAACATCTCCTCTGTGAATTATTCAATGACACAGGGAAGAGTGAAGTCCAGAGCTAGACCCCAGTATGGCTGGCACAAGGCAACACTGGGAGGTTAACAATTGCAAGCTGAACGCCAAGTAGAGGTGCTACCTAATCCTTTAGTAGCAGTGGAGCTTGTTCACAGACCTAACCTGGCCTGGCACAATGGTTAGAGGCAAGATACTGCTTGTCCCAGCAAGGATGCCAGGTCTGAGACCATGGGAAGGAAACTCTCTCCCCAGTGGAAAGGGTCTCATCCAGCTCTGCCTTTCCCCCCTTCAATAGTAACTTGCCCAGTAGTGGCTGTGAGTGGATGTCTAGGGAGATACAGCAAAGAAACAGGTGACCCTCCCTGCTAGCCATGAGCAATGCCAAAGGGGACTCCTCCAACCAGTGAGGACACGTGCCACATAAACCCCTACCAGCACCTCATGCTCAAGGGCACTGCAGCAGCTCCTTTCCTGGTCCTCCTCTGTGCAGGGGATGGATGCCCAGCAGCAGTGCTCTGCAGGGATGCATCCACACACCACCCGTGTGCAGGCTGAGCCCTGCATGGCCCCGGTGCACCCACAGAGCACCACGCCAGCCTGCACGGATCAGGACCTGCCACATGCCTTCTGAGCCTGGGACCCTGCAAGGCTGAGGTGACGCTGTCTCCGCACACAGCTGCTGAAGACAGAGATGCTAGGGGTTGTCTGGCTGAGCACAAAGAAAGTGCAGGGGAGACAAAACTGATCTGGAAATTGCCCACTCTGGAGCCATCCCTGCTGGCACGCCTGCAACAAACCTGGTTGATGTGTTTCAGCTTGTCAATAATCTGGCTGATCACTGGTTCAGGACTTTTCATCTTCACCTCATGGTTGCCAGGCTGAGTTTTCGCTCCGTTCCTTGCGATTAGGGGACTGTACCTGTGGGGGCAAGAACAAAGGAGACCATAATGTGATAGGCTAATATAGAGAAGACATTAAAGTTTAGTACAAACAAAAGAAATCCCCAGATAAGCACTAGCCCCTTCCAAAACAGAGAACACGAGACAGTTAATAGTGACAAAGAAAAGGCAGAAGATTCCCATAAACATTTCTGCTCTGTCTTTGCAAAGCAACAAGATGATGTACTTGTATCACTTGAGGACAATGAAGTCCTTTCCAGTCCATTAGTAACCAAGGAAGACGTTAAACAGTATACAACAGGGATAAATATTTTCACATAACTTGCACCCAAGAGTCCTAAAAAAGCTGGCTCAGAAATTCTGGCTTGCTCATGTTTGTTTAAAATAAATCTTGGCAGACCACAGAGACTCCAGTACAAGAGCGGTAGTGTTGTGCCCACAGCCAAGAAAAAAATGAGTGGGATGACCCAGTTAACTGCTAGCTGATTAGCATAACATCACCCCCCTTGCAAAATAATGACTATCACTGATGTGTGATTTCAATAATAAAGAATTAAAGCATCAGAATATAATTAATGCTGTCAACATCGCTAATGGAAAATAGGTGTTGTCAAACAATCCTGATTTCAGTCTTTGATGCGATCCAGCCTTGGGGATCAAAGTAACTGCTTAGACAGAATGTCCCTTGACTTTGGTACGGTGCTGGGCTCTGCACCACACGGTATCTTGATTTACACAGGTACTGTGTAAGTCAGTAAAGCACCCATAAAGCAGATTCAGAGCTGGTGAAGAGATCTCCAGATGCAGTTCTCCACAGGGACCCTCCCTGAGCTGCCAGGGCAGCCAAGCCTGGACTCAGCTTTTTCACCAGTGATTAGGAAAGAAATATAAATTTACTGCTGCAAAATCTATGGAATGGCAAACTTTATCATGGCAAGAAAAGTGAGAAGAAGAGGGACAGAGGGAAGAAGAGGACTACACATTTGCCTTTTGAGGAACACGTTTCTACACTCAGTACCTGGATAGCAGCTCATGGTGCTCAGGACACAGGATGAGCACGTCCACACCACCCTCAAACTCAGCTTCAGGACCAGAGCAAGCAGCTGCCACCACTGAGTGCTGGCAGCCACAGCAGTGGCACAGAGCACACTCATGCTTTGGGTTGTTGGGATTCACTGCACCCCCAGTGACGGGCCACGGTTCTCTACAAGCACAAAGTCAGTCCTCTCCTGCAAGAGATGACAGCCCAAGCACATGCTGCCAAACCCCAGCACAGCCTGTGACTGTGAGAGCGCCGAGGCAACGCCAAGCAGCAGCCTGCTTTACCCCGTGTCTGCTCTTCCCCTGCCCTGCGTAAACACAAGGAATACTCCTTTCTGTCACTCATCTCCTACCCACGGTGTCCTTACCCAGGTCCCAGCACTAGCCCCAGTAACTGCCTCCCTGCCTGCAAGCTCCCCGCTCCCCTGCCCACTGATCCTTCACCCTCAGACTGCCAGGCGGGCGCGGGCGACGACAGTCGGCCCGTTTCACAGGGGCTTCGGGGAGGAAGTGGGACTTCAGCAGGGATTTAAAGGCGTGGACGGAGATGGGGGGGATGATGGGGCCAGCTCAGGGAGGACGCTTTGCTGGCAGAGAAAGCAAGAGGCATGGGGACACAGCAACAACAGCTGTTGGGGCACACTGAGGGTTTCAGGGATATACAGGGGGTTGGACCCACTTAAACTCTAGATTAAGAATGAGACCAACTCAGACATGTTGGGATGCAAAGGTAACCCCAGATTTACACTGGTCCAGCACAAAACTGCCCCTGACCTGAAATATTTACACCATTTTAAATACAGGACTGAGGCTGATTTCCACTCCAAGTCTTTTTGGGAGCAGGAGTTACATGTACAGGAGTGCTCAGCATCCCCAGCACTGGGCACTCCCCACACATAGCTCAGCTGAGAGCTGACAACCCCATGATATGCTTCACCAAAAGAGATGACAAAGAAGGATGGGAGAAGGGAGATGATTGTGCTTCTAACAGAGGAGCACATGCCTATGTGTGTTCCTGTCTCCAAACATAAACAGCTTGTCCTGGTACAGCAGAAACATCACGGCAAAGCAGAGACACCAGCTGGGGTCCCCCAAGCCTCACCAGCTCCTCAACACCAGGGCAGCTGCCCCTTTTTTTTCCTTTTTTTATAGCTGCCTTATCCTCGGAAGTACAAAGCACAGCCATACCCGAGACACAGCAGCCCCCAGCTCAGGAAAGCCTGAACAAATGGAATTAGAGGCTTGCTGTAGGCTGAAAGCTCGGTGACTGGGAGAAGCGGGAGTGCCAGGCTGGGTCCCAGCCTGCAGCAGCCCGTGCCCAGGAGAAGGCCTGGTCTGCTGGCACAGAGAGCCGGTGGGACCGCATGCTCCGAGCACCATCTCGTGGGAAGACGCCGCTGTGCAGGCAGAGACCTGCCCGGCCCCGCCAATACTTGGGCTTGGCTTTTTGCAGGGGAATAAGGCACTGGGAGCAGCGAACCGTTAAAGCCTTTTTGGTCATTTGATGCCACTGTGCCAACCTGACAAACACATCTGGTGACTGAACACAAATATCCACAAAAGGCATGATGTCCTAGATGCCAAAGAAATCACCATTTTTGGTGTCACTGTAAATTTAATTTTGAAAACTGATGGAACTTTAAAGCATGCTGCTGAAAAGTCTTCTGTGGTTTAAAAGGTTTAGCTAGCAGGATAGATCTCCCACAGGTTTTAGCAAGACCAGAACCACGCCCATTGGGTGCATACCTAAATTGCTACAATCTCTCTTCTAAACAGTTTTACAGAAAGCAACTCAAAAGCTTGGGTTTGAGTGGGCAAAACCCCTTCTGAAATCCATGCAACAACTGCCAGAGAGGACTTCTGGAGCCTACGCAACATCATACAGGAGGGAGGAGCATGGTGCTACGACAGTAGTACACCATAACTATGCGTCTGAACACTGAAATTGTTCTCCAGAAGGCTCTGCTGGGGTGGTAAGAACCTCAGATCATTCTCCACAGGGGGACAAGTCTACCAGAGAAAGAAGCAAACCTGGAAGTGTCTGCAGATGGATATCCCCCTAAAAGAGTGATGCTGGAGAAGCAGTGCCACTGCCTGGTGCTTCTCATCTGACCAGGTGTGTGTATGTACTAAGCCCAAAATGAAGCATTTGCATCAAGATCGTGATTACACAAGGAATTTGAAGCAGCAAGGCAGCAGGCACTGTGAGCTGCATATCTCTGGGCATGCATCACAACGCAGCAGATGCACAGGGACACACTACATCTGAACAGCCAGAAACGTGCTGCTGCGTGGCTTGGGTGCTCCAGGACACACTGCCCCTGTGATGCAGAGTGCACCAGATACAAAGGGGACACCAGCTCCCCCCAGCTGTGCCCCCCTCTGCCAGAGCACCAGGGCTGGGGTGGCACACAGCCAACTGAAGGGTTAAAGACTTTGAAATGTAGCTTTGGTGAGGGACAAGCATTCTTGAAATGCCAGAAAAGCTGGAAAAGGCAGCTGGCACCCCTCCCTGAAGCCCTGGCAGACCAGATAGGTCTTAGTATTTGCAGCCCTCACTGAGATGGAGGCCAGGGGGGTGCTCACAGGGCAGTCCCCCATGCAGGTTCTCCTGCATCTCACCAAGCTGCAGCAGAGCTGGTGGGCTTGCAGGTCCTATTGCAAAACAAAGCCAAAGTGTCACTTTCCTCCCATGTTCTCCAGCCACAGTGCAGAAAAGGCAAAACCTCAGGGCCATCTGGGGTTGCTTTCAACATACATCAGTAAAACAGCCCCTTCTGCAGGACACTTGTGCCGCTCCACAAAAACCATCACATACCTCTGCCGTGGGTATCAGCATTAACCAGTGTGAATATTTGCTGTTCAAAGTCAACCCCACAGTCCCAGGGGGTCCCTGCACCAAAGGGATATCAGTATTGTAACATGAGCATGGTCTGGCTTCCACTTCATAAGCAAAGCCGAAAATACATTTGTCTTTGATGTGTCTTGACGTCAGTCAGCAGCATCCCCTTGCTGGGGCTCCCTGGTATGGGCTCTTGCTAGGGACTTGGTATTTTCCAAAGCCAAATGTCACATTGTAAAATGTGCTGATAAGCAGCCCTTGCTAAAAACATCTTTAAAGGCAACCACCTGATCAAACACTAACGATCTGAGGTCTTCTGTGGGGATAGCACAACTACAGATCCTTCCTGCTCCTTCTCATCCACTACCCATAAATGCCAAAGTGTGCAGTCAAATGAAGGGATTTTCCCCTCCTTCCCTCCCCACCATCCACAAATGTCTCCTGTAAACGTTTGGTTGTTCTAGTCTGAATGCAGCTCTTTAGAGGTCTTCATTTCAGAGCAAGAAAGGCAAGATGACAACCGCAATTTAAATATATGGCAATGAATGTAAAATGCGTGTTCATCCTACTTGGCCATGCTAGGCTTAGAGATAAGTTACTGCAATGCCTGATATGATTTAGAGAAAGTAATCCTCTAAGTCAAACATAAAGAAACACACCTTTCAGAAAAAAAAAAAAAAAGTTTGTCATCCAAGTAGCAATCAATTTATGCTTGTCTTCCAGTTGCAAAGTATTTCTTCAAATGCAGCTTCACAATTTAAACAGCATGGTATCCCTTGCAGGCCCTTCCTCTACTGTCTCTGTTCACTGCATCATACTTGTTTGATGGGGGACAAATACAACACAGACTGCTACAGGAGAGGTCTACAACACCAGAGAAGAGGTTTCATTGCACAGGAGTTAATAGCCAAGCTTAAGAGAGCATTATTTCCAGCACTCACAGTCCCCTGAAGCTGCTCTGCATTTCAAGACATGACTGTCTACAGGCTGTGTGGAGGCCGATGACACCAAGTCCTCACCACATAGGAGGCAAAAAGATATGACAAAGGGGGGGACAGGAAAGAAAAGTTTCTCCCTTACACTCCTGACAGGAACCCAAGTCTTACCTCCAGATGGTTTTCATGGGTCAGTGGGTG